GAAGTACGAAGAAGTACGAAAAAGTACGAAGAAGTACCAAGAAGTACCAAGAAGTACGAAAAAGTACGGAAAAGTACGAAGAAGTACGAAAAAGTACCAAAAAGTACGAAGAAGTACAAAGAAGTACAAGAAGTACAGAAGTCCGCTTGTTCCCCCTTGAAAATTATACTGTTTTACAGCTAGACGACATTTCATATTTGTTCTGTTTAATAATACAGATCGAATATCAATTTCTTTTTAATTTTATATACTTTTTATGCTCTCTTAAAAACAGGTATCAACATAGTGAAAAACATATGCAGTGTAATGCATCAGTCACTGGGTAAGATCCGTCAGCAAGGTTCAAAAATGTTGTAATAGCTACATATTTCTTTGAAAACTGCGATCAAACGAATCTATTAATATGATCCTCGCCTTCGACTTCAGAATCAAGAATTTAATTCTTACGCTAATTCTGTTCACAACTCTAATTGTCCATTATAGCGCTCGGTGTAAGATGGCCATTTATTTCAATATTGAACAGATTTCTATCATACAAATTAACTGTTGACGAGTCTCAATGTTCATTTATTATTTAAAGAAATCAAAATGTTAAGTAGTATTTTTACATTCCTCTGGTATGTCGAATGCACTCGGATCAAGAACTTTTGGTACGAAATTGGCTATTGTCGTTGAATTAACAGTGGCTAAAATAGTCAAAGAGAAAATTAGTTATCGATATTTTCACATTATAGAGTTACTCACCAGGGTTCTGAGAGTAATTATGTCCATTCAATGGAATACATTGACCATCACCACTAACTGTAAAATACATAATTGCTTCATCTTTTGTTATAAGCCATGTGTCACCAATAATTTGTTTATCACCATATCCATACATAGACGAGTATTGATACACTGCTGTCTCTATATCAGAATAAAAGTAAATCGTATTGTTGTTGGCATGAATAGAAAAAAAACATGAAAAATAAGCGTGAGATACCTGGTATACAATACAACGGTTTAAGTGTTATTATTGATTTATAACATTTTTTTGAATCTTGATCTATTGTATAAGTTTGACCATCTTTCATATTTTCAATGATCCACCAATGTGATTTTTGACCATCTGGTATTGAAGTTGCTTCACCTTTCAAAGCAACTAAACCACGATCCGAATCGTATGAAAAATTATAGGTTGACTATTCAGTTAAGTAGTCATAGTTAAGACGCAAATATCTCTGATAGAAATGACTTACGTATGAGCTATATGGTTTACCATCTGGCAATATCATGCCAGTTGATATGCTCATTTGTGAACTGTGTTGTTTCGGTAAACAGCAAGGTTTTGGTTCATTTGGTGATAGTCTTGTCAATGTGCCACTTGAGCCGGTAATAAGAATAAAAATGATGGCAAAGGTTGCGTAGCAGAACATGGTAAAGCTGTTTTCCATTTGTGAAAGAATAAAATGTACGTTTTCATTTATAGGCAACTGACATAAAAGAGAGTAAATATTTGTCTTAGATTACTATCTTACATATATTATGGACCATATTTCGTAAGAAGCGCAGATATTTATGAGTCAGTCAATATCTCTCACCTAGAATACTTAAATTCATTTTTACAAGAAGATAGAAGTACTGTAAGTCATTGACATATAAATATTCCCTTAAACTTTTCGATCTATCAATCTGCTTAAAGCTCTAGTGAAAAAAAAGATAGAAGTTAAATGCTTGATATGATTGTTGAGATTCAAAGAAAATTCAAGAAAAATTTTTTTTTTACTGTGTAACAGATGTACTATTTTGTTTTGTTCGTTTTAATTAACAAAATAATCAAGACTTCTCACATGAATTACGTATGATCTTAGTTTGCTTAAATAAGCCCCCCCCCCCCCCCCCCAAAAAACGATCTCAGTCCAGGAACGTTCAAATGAGCTGAAATTTGGAGCATATGTTGGGGCTGAAGTGGGGAGGCTGTGGTAAAATTTTCAGCTCCATTTACTGACGTTTGACGGAGATATGAACCCAACAAGGGTCAAAAATAGCTCATTTTCTGTCCAAGATTTCTCGGTCCGGGCTCTGTCAATATATTTAAATTTTTTTTTGTTTGAAAGAGCATCTCAGGATGCAGGGCAGTATAGAGTCCTTTTTTTTAAATTCTTACTTTCTTCGCGGAGAAAGGGGCTCACAAGTTCAATGACTCAAAAAACGCGCAAAAAAGGGTGTCCAGTCACATAAGTGTCTGTATAAATAATAAAAAACAAAGCTTAATTAAAAAAAGGACTCTATATTGCCCTACATCTCAACGCGCTCTTTCAAACAAAAAAAAAAATTTTAATATATTGACAGAGCCCGAACCGCGAAATCTTGGACAAAAGATCAAAAAATCATAAGCCGAGAAAAAACGAAAAACATTTTTTGATTTTTCAAAAAACAGCTGGTTTTTCGAATAGGGGTTGACGGAAATATTGAAAATTTTTTGGGAAAAATGAAGTAACGAGAAAAACAAATTATCGTTTATGAAAGAGCAGATGACGGGCTATCTTCCCATGCATTTATCTCAATTTCGAAATTTTTGACGAAAATTGACTTTTTTTGAGTGGGGGGGGGGGCCTTAAAAGTGATTCAATTCTTCATGATTTCCTTACACAACAAATTACATATCTTTATATCGATATTCACAGGGAGTCAACAAAAGAAATCTTTGACGCTATCAAGAATTTGTTGTGTGAATTATCTCTTTATGTAGACGGTTAACGATAATGCACATTTGTCAAGTGTTTCCTAATTGAAAGGTGCCGATTTGTATTTATGCATAAATTACCACAAACAGACAATATGTTTTCAGCTTTAATTAAATTGAATATTAATATCGAAAGTTTTTAATGATTGTCTTTCTCTTCTTGATAAGCGATGATTATCTGTGTAAAGAAAAAGCGACTATAAGTTTCAGAGTGATGCTTATACCCTGGATCGAATATTTGTAGGTTTTTAGAGAAAGACGTGCTGTATCGAATGTTAGAATTGAAAAAATCATAAGTTTGACACTTTTTCAAAGGGTCCTCCTACGTCAAAATTCAAATTGTGTAGAACCAAGTCAAAATCTAACCCAATCATCTGTATCCTGTTTGACAACCCATACCTTTTATTTTCATAATACACGTCATTCTTCTTTATATTCAAGTTATGACATGATTTATAAGTTAGACAAAAAAATTCCAACCAAGTAATTGAACCCTACAGAGAGTGCATAGACGAACTGTCGTGTCCAGATCACTATAAAAAAAGACTAGGAAAGTGTGATCGTCGGAAAACGAGCACTCTCCACCGTCGAGAACGGGAAGAAAAGCTGTGTTAGAGTGTGCAGTTCAACGACATGACTATTAAACAATAATATATTTATGCAAACTTCCTTTGTTTATTATAGCGACATTTATCGACATGTAGTAGAGAAACCTAATTTTATCTTCAACACAAAAAATGGAAGAGCGGAAGGTGCTTCTTTAACATCTTCAAAAACTTCATAAAATTCTAGAATACTAGCAAGAATCTTTATTCTGTTTACATATCTGTTCTCGTGTACTTCTTTTATGATATTTATACTTTATGTCGATTTACAATAAATCAACAACTCGCTTTTTTCTTAAATCTTATTCGAATAGTCTACGATGGATAACCATTTTATAGGATCTACGTCTCTTTGTGCTCGAAACAACGTCATGTTTATATTGATACATCTCAGTGAAGTATTACTAAGTTTTAAAAAGGAAATTGTATCATGTTGTAGAGCAGCAAAGTATCTACGATTCTGTATATTTGAAAGTTTTAGCATGTCAAAATTGAAATCATAAATACTGTTTCAACTAGGATCATTAAAAAAAGGTGAACTGTTTTTCTAACTTATTATAAGTCACATCATAACTTCAATATATTAAGAAAAATGACATTATTATGAAAATAAACTGTGAGCTGTTGAACAGTGTATAGATGATTGGGTTAGATTTTGACTTGGTTTTACACCATTTGAATTTTGATGCAGGAGGATTTCTTAAAAAAGTGTCAAATTTATATTTTTTCATTTTAATTTTCTTTCATGATATGCAACAGAATTTGATGATATATATATATAAATACACCATTAGAACTGTACTTTAAAAAAGACTTATTAAGAAGATGATTGCGTTGTAGAAAACTCGTCGTTATCTTCGTATATCAAATTCTTCGTTCGGATCACAAGAAATCAAAAGATATAGAAAAAAGCTAATTTTATATGGTTGAAATATGAAACTATAAAGGATAATAACTTAATTTGCTCTCTATTAGATGAAAAAAACAAGAAGAAACGAAGGTCAGCATGCCTCTATAGCTCAGTGGTAGAGCGCCAGTCTTGTAAACTGGAGGTCCGTAGTTCGATCCTGCGTGGAGGCATCTAATTTTTATAATAATTTTTTTCTTATCAACATTTTTTAAACTGTCAATTTTTCATCATTAACGAGATTTTTTTGGTAGAATAATTTAATTTCATTGAAGGATTAGCTGACAATTTATTTCATCGATACGAATATTATCAAAAGTATCATTCAATCGATGATGCAGTAGACTTGAACAAGCAAGACCCTTCGAGTATTTGGAAAATAAATTAATCTTTGGGAATCGAGCGTCTGCTTTCCAAACTTATAAGAGGCAAAATTTTCAGGCTGAACAGTAAAAATTCATTTTCATTGCTCTTTCTGTAGGCTTAACAAAAATAGTGTTCTATCAACGAATTTATTCACTTGCTAATATTTAAACTTGATGATGAAGATGTCGTATTACAACTTTCAACTCGATGCTTGTTGAAGAAGACATGCTACAAACAACAACAACAACAATTTTTACACTCTTACAATGATAGACTTTGACAAAATATATTCTGTTATGAAAAATATGTGAAGAAGAGTGCCACATCCATACCAATCACACTTTCTAGAAGTTGAATCAAACTAATTCTTTATATCACAGAATGGACTAAGCGATTTTATTGTTGATAAGAAATGTGAGGCATGGCTGTCGCTGTAATATAAGCCCGGACTGGTAACTGGACTAGTTGAAATAGTTGCACAAGCCGGTTTTTAATGGTGGAAAAATATCTCATATCATACATATGCTATCTTTTTCTCATAAAACGTGTTGAGAACAATCCCTTATGCTCTTATTAAAATAACCAAATGGTGTTGTTTCAAGAATTATCTTTTATATTTAAAGAGAAATGTTGACTTTGTCTGTGAATATTGACTGAGAAAATTCAAGATATGAAGTGTGGCAATCAGTTCATAGGCGAATATAACTACGTTTTGGCGCTATATATTGATATCTCGTATATTCATCTTTGAAAAAGAAACAGATATGAACGAATAGAGCATTATATTTATTCTTGATGATTTAAAAAAAATGAGTAAAAAAAGGAACATGAATGTTTTTGAAGACATTCCTATTATCCTATTAAGAATGATTCAACAAACTGATCACTTGCCATTGGTTTCTATCGATTTGAAAGATATTTTAACAGTCTCTAGGCTGATTCCTATTTATTCTCTCTAGGTATTCAGAACAAAATTCTATCCTTTATATAATTTTTATCATATAAAAAAGACTCTACGAACTCATCAGTTTTTACCGTCCTGGAAATATTTTTACGCCGGTCAAACCGAAGAGTGTGAACATAGGTGGGTGAGAGTGAGGAGAACACATTCACATCCCAAAACTATTTGAAATAGCTACCAATCATCTTCCACTCAGAATATTGTTTTTGTAGGCGGATGTGGGTGCGATCTAAGTCTCAACCTATAGAATATCGACATGCACACACACATCTCGTTGGAATATTTGACGATATATGTTGATCATTACGTTTTGCATTCTTGGATGCCACGTCATTCTCATTAGCTTCAACGTTTGCTCATGATGGTAGTACATAATTATTTGTTGTAAGATTTGATGAACATGATGATAGTTCATAAATATCTGCTGTTGATTGTTTATTCTTTTTGCTGTAGAATAGAATCTTCCCAAAGTTGAAGTTATTTGAAAAAGAAACCGAACGTATGTGTTAAAAGTTAAAGCTACATTCACTTTCACCATAACGAAAAAAAAGATTGTTTTCACTTCCTGAAGCATCTGTTGAAGGTGAAACCATTTGAATCTGACAAGAAAATAGTTCCAAAATTTAATATAAAATATAGCAATTCCAACTTGAATAATTTGAAGTCGACTTCACAATTAGTAGCATCATCAACTGATTCACAAACTCAAATAATGAAAATTGGTGATTTTTATATGGTCAATCGCGATAAACCGCTAAAAGAGATCTGGTTTTTATGCCATGAAAAGTATCTAAGGAATTCTATGAAATAGATATTATTGGTTATCTTGATTGTTTATTTTTAAGTCAGCAATGGTTTTAGCTTACCTTCTGAAACTGAATTCCAAACTCTTTGTCATTGATATAGATAGCTACAATGTTCATGTTAGAAAAGCCTAAGCGTTTTTTGAAATCGAAAACATCTTTTTCAATAGAAATTTGAAATAAGAAAAAGAGAAAATTAATAAAACAATCTTTTCTACTTCACAGAGTACTGTCATGAGACTTTTTCAGGTACGTATAAATAAACCACTTTTCACAATCGCAATTATCCTGAATATTTTACTTTTATCAGAGTTACTTAATATTGAAAATATTAGAAAGAAAGAAACTAAAGCATTGAGGATATAGAGCAGAAAAAAATTGATTAAGTAAATGTATTTCTATGTTAAATAAATTGAATATATAGTGTTAAACATAGATGTCCTACAAGGATGGTACGGTTTTATTGAAAAGAGCTTGATAACGTATACGAAAGCTATAGAGGAAGTAGAAAAACACAACCAGACATGTTTTAGGAGAGTATAGAAGTTAAACATATTTCGACATTCAAATCTTTATTGCGATCAGTTGCTTTTTTTCATATTTTTACGCCAGATTTTCAAGCTGAGTGGTCTTTTACAGCATTCTTTAAAGTGTATCTTATAGAAATCTTATGATTTCTTATTTATCGATAAATATAGTTTATGAATCATAAAATATGTTTTTGCTTTCTTTGTCCGAACTGTACTAAGAAAATGGATTCTGTTATGGCACGTACGTGAGACGCATTATAAGACCTGCTTTAAACATATCATGCTATATCTTTTCTTTCGGAGTGTCTATGTGGATCTTTATTTCAAGTGTACTTACACGCATATCCTTGCTCTCAACATTCACATTATTCATATACATTCTAGTTAAATCTAAAAAGAAAAAAGATAATCATTCGAATTATATCGTATACATACGATTCTAATAAAACTGATATGTGTACAGACGGATGGAATCAGATGATATCAATTTAATTTATATCGTGATCGTCTTTTTGAGTTCTTTGACAGTATGTTTTCCTCACTCTTGCACTCTTCTTCTCTTGTGATTCCTCGTGTTGTCACTATTTTTCTTTTCCAGTCCGTGGAATGGCTTTATAGTCCTATCGAAGAGATCCAACGTTCTGTTGGAATACGTACAGGCGTCAGCTGGAGAGACCTGTGTTATACATGTATGTCTACATCATGATCATCTTAATCTCATGAGTACGATGTACGAGCACACATGGAGTGCTTTTTTTATTATGCCCGTAGATGTGACACTCTGAAGTGCTTAGAATGTGGGTGCGGGTTTGAGTATTTTGTTCTTTAACACGTACACCCTAAGGCTCTAAAGGAGTAAGGCAATAAGGGGACAAGGCTATAAAGGGAGACGACTATAAGGAGAAAAGACTCTAAGGGGTGAACTCTATAAGGGTGTAAGGCTATAGAAGGGCAAGGTTATAAGAAAGTAAGGCATTAAGGGTATATGGGAGGAACGCTATAAGAAAGTAACGCTACAAGAGCTACAAGCAATATGAGGATATAAGGCTGTAAGGCTACGTGGAGTATTCGCGATATAACGATGACACGTCGTAGGGCTATCTATATACATCATCTCGAGTGTCTTTCTACCTGTTACCGAGTGAAAGATTAAAGGTTTGAGGTCGTACTTGAAAGAAAAAAAGCTGCCATTGATTATGCACGGGTTCTCACTAGTTTAAAACTAATTTTCGAATACAACAAGTCACTTTCACACAACGTGTTAATCAAATTGGATTATATTTGAAAAAAGAGAACACTACTTTACGTGCAGCTATTCCAGCTGATAAACGAGTGGTATGTGCACTATATTTGTTGGGTGCAACAAGTGGATTAC